ACCAGCCCGACAGCGCCCGGCGACGCAATGGCATGGCCCACCACCCTGCACAGGAAACCAAGGAGTTCCATCACCGCGCTGGCCACCATCGAGGGAACTCCCAGGAAAAGCGTGGCGAATACCAAAGGACAAACAGTTCCCAATCCCCCTACTTTTGCCCGGAGAGCAACAGCACCCAATGACACGCACCCCAGCACCAAGCACGCAGCAGAAGCAGAGGGCACGACCAAAATGCAGAACAAAATCGGGTCCAGGATGACCCGAAGTGCAGCGCGCGCCACCCCTGGTGACGGCAGGTCACCACCCAGCAACGGCACTGCCGAGCAGAGCGAGGGCCCAAAAGAAAATCCCGCTCCTCCGACACCGGGCCGGACTTCGTTTTCCTCCGCCGTCTTTAGCCCCTCGGTCTCACCGGGAAAGACGTCCACGGCCGCAGCCGCAGCTCCCGAGAGCAGCACTGCACTCACGTCCACAGCTGAAGGAATGGTTCCTCCCTGGAACCAAACAACCATCAAACCCTCCCAGTCAAGCCTGCGACAGGAAACCACGACAACTTCTAGTTCAGCCAGGCCCATACCACCAACCCCATTCTCACGTACCACAAAACCAGCCGAACTTTCCTCTCCAACGGGGACAGAAGGAAACGCTTCAAAGCCACGCTCCGACACTCCATCTGCTTCGACTCCAACACAAGAAGGAACCTCACCCCCTCAGAGACAGACCCCCATGCTGGAAGAGCGCATAACTAGTAATTCTACCCAAACGTCGTTCAAACCTGAACGGACAACCTTGAAGATAACTCCTCCTTCTCCAACGCCAAAGCATCGGATCACTGAGGAGACAACACAGGAGACCCACACATCTGCTCCTTTCACATATCCTGCTTCCACAGGCAGCACAAGACGACCAGAGGTCAACACCAAAATGAAAAAAATGACGGAAAAGGCTACATCAGGACGCAATGCAGACAGCCAGAAAGAGAAAGGTGCAGGAACACTTGTGGCTGTCCTTATTGGCGGGGCGCTAATCTTGATGCTAGCTGCCATAGCAATCATTCTGCTGCAGAAGTGGAGAAGGCAGCAGAGGAGGGCAGAGGATCCCAATTGGGCCGGCCCGTCCCCCTTCCTGGACGGACAGATCGTGCCCCAGCTGCCCAGCGGCGACGAGGAAGAGAGGCCGAGCAACAGGTCCTCCAAACGGGTCTCCCTGCGCAGCTTCCTGCCACAGCGACTCTCCAAACGCCTCTCCCTCCTGCAGGAGACCGACGAGAACCTCCCAATGGAAGACGTCATGCAGGGAAGCACTTTCGGCAGGAGCCCGGAACCCAGTTCCAAGCCCCAGAATGGGCATGGCTGGGAGAAGGACAAAACTCAGGGTAGCTCCAATAGTAGAGCTACTAGCCAGGGAAATGCCAAGAGCAGGACTTCGCCAGAAGCTGTGGGAGGCAAGACCAACGTGAAGAGCCCAGCATCGCCTCCTCCTCCTCCTCCTGCTCCTGCTCCTGCTGCTGCTGCTGCAGAAAACCATATGGTCCAGTCCGCTCTTCCCTTATCAGAAATTGACCTGGGCCCAAGCCCTACTGAGGATGAAACCCCACTCCCTCTGCCCCCACCGGATAACCAAGCCAGCCCTCCAGAAAAGCATGAGATTCAGCCTGCTCCCCCTTTATCGGATATTGACCTGGGCTCAAGCCCTACTGAGGACGAACTCCCACCTCCTCCACCCCTAATGAACTACCAGTCAATCCCCATCCCTCCCCTTTCCACTTAGGCAGAGAGCAACTGGGCGTGACCCAACGTGATGTGAACAGAAAGTGAGCACTTGAAATATGTTATCGGTGTAAATGTCTACTAATTATTGCTTTGGCAACACGGCAATTCAGTAATGCCAATAAAGCTCTTTGAATCTGAAAGTCTTGCCGTTCTGAATGAACACTTCCCACCAGCACTGTTAAAACCAAACTCCCCATACAAAAGGAAGCCAACTGATGAGAGTCAAAGATATGGAGCCCACACTGCTTCTTTCTAAGCAGATAAGCAAAGCATTTTGCATGTATGTTGCAGTAACCTTCTGTGGCTGGAACAGAGCTTCCAATTTTAATACAACAGTCAAAATGTCTTTAACATAACCACTTCACCTTCTCGTTACAAGCAAAAGAGGCCAAGCCCTCCAATTGTGCTTGATTTACATTATACCCCACACCTGTAATCAGAAAACTGCACAATTATATGGGGCCATTTCCATATATATGGAAATGAGGAAAGATTTTACATAGGTGTTTCCAAACAAGTGGTGACACTTTTTACAGTACCTTCTTGCTTTTCGAACAGTGATGGCACTTAGGAGATGCACTGGAAAAAAAAATGCAAATCTGGAAAAAGCGTTAAATAAAAGGTCTGACATTTCTGGTATTGCTCTGATGGAAACCGAGTTCACTCATTCGCCAGTTTTAATTTTCCACGAGTACTGCTCGTATGAGACAGCGAGGAAATAGATGAGCTGCAACCAAAGAGCCTGCTCGTTTGCAAGCCACTGACAAGTGACTGACCTGTGTGGAGGCGCAGGACTGCAGAAGGAAGCTCAATTGAGCCCCAGATTGATTCGGTAAAATGACAGGCAGCCTTCCCGGGCAGAGATGCCAGCCGCCGCCTGGGGAGCCTGCAAACAAGGTCTCGCCAGAAGGCTGAAGGGCGGAAAACAGCTCTATTAAAACTGATCGACTGCACGCTTGTCCACAAAGCACAAAAAAAAAAGCCACAGAGACATCCGAGAGATGTGGTGCTCTCTGGGGAGCACGGTGTTCTGCACGGTGATAAAACATGAATAAGTGACGATCCAAACAGCGCAGTCTTGAATAAAACCCTTTTTGTGTCAAACAGAAACCCAGGGCACCTCTGCGGGTCTACAGGCCAGGAGAGAATAGTAGAACTATGGCTTTCTACAGTCCAGGAACTTGAGAAAAGTTCTGAAGTAATGCACCGGTATTGTTTTTTAAAAAAGAATACCAGTAACCAAGAAACAAAAAAAAATAGGAAACCACAAACCCACAGCGAAATGTCAACAGTTTCTGCTTTAACATTTCCACACTCGCTTTCAAAAGGGAGTTACAGCACAGGCTAGTCATTTGTGCTTTACGCTAAAAATACATATAGTTTAGTTAACTCTGTAAGGTATTAAAAATGGTTTCAGTTCATATAAGCTGGGACTCAAAACGTTTTCAAATAGACAAGCTCATAAGTGTCTACCAGGCCTGCCTGCAGTCATGACACAACCCACATGCGATCCTTACAAGGGGCAATGTGTTTGTGTTCCAGAAATACAGCACAACACCAAAGCTCTACTGGATATTTCATAGTAAAATCGGCTCCTCTTTAAGAATGCGCTGCAAAAAAACTATTTTAATAAGGCATTCTTTAAAAAAAATAATAATATGCCCAGCAGCCATTACCACTAGAACCGGGCAAAAGGCAAAAACCGTCAAAAAGAGAAAACACAGGTCTTAGCATTTACCAGTGGGGAAAAAAAAATTCTAGTAGGCAGCTGTGATCAATGAGCTCTGCAGAATTTTATTTTAAGAATGAAGTAAAACAATAAAGAGCAAATTTATCGATTTGAAAATTATTTTTTAATTTCGGCAAAAGGCGTCGGCTGCCCCCCGCTGTCAGACGGGTCGGGGTCGGTGCTGATCCGCCTGTGAAGACTCACAAGCCCCACGTCCCAGGAGCGACGTGGTCATTATTCTTTCAGCAACAATGACCGTAACAAAGAACAGAAGGAAAACGGTTGAAGTAGAGGCAGAAACAGACCACAACAAGTCTACGTCAGTCTCTGCAGAAGTGTTGCAACTGCTGCAGCCCTTAGCTGTGAAATCATCAACGGCATTAGGAGAAGTGCCTGGTTTACTGCTTCTTTTTTGACCGTTATGCTCGTTAAATCCCATGGTATCTCACCCACTGTGTGGGCTGCCTTCCTGAAATCTCTGCAATTAGAGCGGGGAAAAATACAACCCCATAGATGGACACGCCTTCAATCTGAATGAGACTCCTGTAAGTTTGGTATAAGCCTTTAAAAAAAATCTGTCGACTTGGGATGTGGCCTTTCTGCCTAACCTGTGGTTAATGAGCTGAAATACTGCAGGGAAGTGGATTTTTATTCAATCCAATGAACAGAGCAGTCAGATCTGATTTCACAAACCCACTAGCAGCTCAGTTTGTGCAAGATTAATACAGACCAGTCCTGGGAGGACTTCGCCTGGATTACTGCTTACAATCAATGGACTAGTAAATGGTTACTGAAAAGAATTATAGCGTTTGTAATTAAGATAAGGGCTCAACTGATGCGCCTCATCACAGCAGCAAGGGGCTGAATTAAAAACATGGTGCTGCATCGTGCAAGAATTGTGGACGTGGTGACCGGTGACCCCCCAACAAATGCACTTGCTAAACTACCAGCTACCAGGAACGACCTGGCATGAAAGTCGAATGCAACATTTTTCTAACCCACGTCCCCAAGTTGCTGAATGATGATGAGCTTGATCTTTCTAAAACGGCTTTTCTGAGGGAAAGGGAGGCAGAGAAGAATTTTCCCCAGGAAGAAATGGTGTGCACACAGCCAGCATGGAGGGGGAACCGAGTCAGGGGTGGGACAGGGGAGGAGAGCAGTTATGGAAAAGAAACTGCTCCACCCCCCGCCCCCGTCTCTCTACTGTATTGAAACGAAGTCCCCGGAGCCCTGGATTGGTTTCTGAATGACAGGACGGCGCTGGCCAGCCTCCAGCCATCGAGCGCAGTGTGTGTGTATGTGTGTGTGTAGCCGGGCCCCGCTGCCTTGACTGCAGCTGTGGCAGAGAGAGAGGGAGAGATGCGCGCGCACACACGAGCTCCGATCAGACCTGACCTCTATTAGTAATCAGGGAGAGTCATGCTGCTGGGACGCACCCAGCTCACTGGCGGGTCCCTTCCACAATGGCTTCTTTTGAGAGGACAGCAAAATCAACAAGCCCCTGCCCTGCTGAAAAGACTCATTCTGGAGCTGGATCTTTTGTTCACTACTAACTCCTGACGAGAGTGTTTCTTTGGAACAGGTTAGAAATTCCTCACAAGCTCTGCCCATCAGGGTTTTAAACTTTCACAGAAAGAGAAAGACACAGAGGCTTCCCGTTTTCAGGGAATGGAAAAAAAGAGGAGAGCTCTTCAGAACATTACCCCCTCCTTTGTCCCAATTGAGGCCACAGCTTCTATAAATTATCTGCCAACACCATGTTTCTTTTTTTTTTTAAACTCGCTTCTGGACGCAGAAAAACATATACTGTAGCAAAGCCTGTCCTTTTAAAGAAGGTCTATCTGAATTCCAATACAACGGCTGCAAAATTGCAAATGGATTATGGGGATGTGGTAAACAAAATGTGGGAACAAAATATCTCTTATTTCATAAAAAATGAGCTAAGTAGAGTAGTTCAATTAAAGGAATGCTGCAGGTTTGGGTGGATCCCTTAATCCAGACATTGTGAGATCAGCACTGGGCTACAGCCGATTCTTAGCAGCAGGGGACATCCAGGAAACTCCCTAGGAAAACGGGAAAGGGCTGGCCAGGGGATCCTCAGTTGCTGCAGGAACAGCTGAATGTCTCCTCCAGCGGATGCCAGCTCGATTGTAGACATTCTGAGACACACAGTGGAGAATACTGAAGACAGCTCTGACAAGTCCTCATTTCGGAGGAAAGCATACAAGTCATCTTCCTCTCCTTGCTACTGCCTTTTTTATAAATAATAGCAGCTTGGGGACATGAATCAAAGGAGGGAGGCATGGCCTAGTTCACAGAAATACCAAGAGGCATCACTGTAGCCCACTTCCTTGAAATTTAGAACACTTCAGATCAACACCCTGTAAAATGTGTGTGAACCACAATACATGAGAATCAACCAAAGGTCGAGTAAAAGCATTGTTTCTGGTCTTCTGTGTAAGTGACTTGTGTTAATGTGTAACTGAAGTAACGAAAGATGCAAATCCATTTACCAGCTGTGTCACATGGCAACAAGTACCCACTACAGACGTCTCATTGACAATCACTGCCTTCATAAAAAGTCATGCTAAAAAATTAATGTCTTATTTTTTGTGTTGTATCTAGAATAATTACAATTTGCCATTTTCTGTTCAATGTTGGGCTTTTCATCCATCATCCATAAAGCACCTTGAGGATGGCTTGCTTTGCCACTGCACAGTACGACAAAGTCATGCTCAGCTGTTTGCATGCACCCAATGTAGAGACGTACGCATATAAAGATCCAGTGAACTCAGTGCTTCAATAAAGCTACATACCATGCCAAAGAAAATAATTACTTGGAATTATCTTAGCATTTTTCAAGTCCCACGTTACATTTAGTCATTTCCTGAACTCACTGAAGACAAAGGAGCTAATTCAGTGGATGTCGTAATTTGGGTGAAATTACACCATAAGCGAAGATGCTGCTGAACTCTGGATCGCTGACAAACAGCGCTGTATCGTCTGTCATAGTGATCCCGGCTGCTCCCTATCCATTCTTTTTCCCCGACTGCCGCGACTCCGAATCCGTGTGCGAGCATGTCGAGGGGGGTGTGCTTCCAAACATGTCTGAGGGGCAGTGTGTGCGAGTGCGTGCTCATGTGCGGCGCTCGTGAAGGTTTTGTCGAGTGTGCGATCCAGATTCACAAAAAGATCCGAGTCAGCAACCCCCCAACCCCCCCCACACACACCTACTCCCATCACATGAGCAGAGACGGGGCCTGGCTCGGTGCTGCATCTCTGCCTCTCTCCCTCCCTCTCCCTCCCAGAAAGCGCTCTTCCCTCGCAGTGCACATCGGGAGCCTGCAGCAGCAGCAGCACCAGCAGCACAAGCTCTGCTTGCTAGGGACACACTGCACTGCCATGCCAGGAAAGGACGAGCCGGGAGAGGGGCGCAGTTCTGCAGGGAATACCGAAAAATAACCGCGCATAAAAAGGGACAGCTCTGCCTGACGGGCTGGGGGGAGGAGGAGGAGATACAGGGAAAATAAGAACAAAATAGCGACACCACCCCGTCCTCCCACTACGAACATCTGATACTCCACTGCTCCAGGGGGAGAGAGGGGGAGAGAGATGATTGTGAAGTGATGAAGAAGACAAGGTGAGTGATTTACGACACACATGCTCAGACCCACACACTCCCGTGGCTAAAATCCAGCCATCTTAGCTGGGTAAGACTGCAGCACGGTCGCTTTCTACTGCTGGACCACAAACTCGGGATTGAAAATGCGACTTTTTACCGAAATTACCGCTGCAATTTTTTGAGGAACGCAGACTGACTGAAACCCTATTTTTTCTCTTCGGTGTCGGCAACTGCAGATTCTTACTGGTGAGAGGCTCAACCGTATGGACTAAATCCGGCTCTCCGACACATGGCTCTTTAACCAGATATTATTTTCTGATTCGCCCCGAGCCCGAGATTTCATTCAAAACAGATGGATAGCACTCAGCTTCGTCTTTGTCAAATACATATGTCCCATCGATATAGATCTTCAAACCTAAATGCTTTTTCATTTTCTCCTAGTAAAATAAACACCTATATGTATGCATCATTTTTTAATTGCATCTAAAAGGGGGGAGACAGCTCTAAAGCTTATTGCTGTGATGCAAACGCCTGGAACACACATATTAAACATCTCCAGTGAAGCTCACTGCAGCACCAGAACACAGCTTACCTGGCATGCCTTCAAGTCTTAGTCTAGCGAGTGAAGCATGGTTTTTACCAGCCACAGAAACTGAACTGGGGACCTGAACACCCAGCACTGTTCACTATTACACACTCCTACTTCTTAAATACCCACAAATGCAACTTTCTGTTTGAAAGGAGCATAAGGGCATTTTAGATGAGAATCATTAACGTGGACAAGAATGTAATTCCAAAACCAAAAACTCTCTGCCTGCAAGCAAATCCATTCGTAAATTCAAGAATAATAATTGAATAATTCAAGAATAAGCCACATTTTCTGAAAAGGGGAGTTGCAATTAATGCAATTAAGAGTCTTAAAGGCAAATCATCATGTCTGCATTACTGTGCTAGACAAAAGCTCTTGACAATAGCTCTCCTGCTTTCCAATTTCATGCATATTTTGGCCACAGTTGATTTATTCTCTTCTATCTGTTCCAGGAAAGCAATGATGTATCCTGTCACCTCTCTTGCATGTGTGTTGGTCCTACTGCTCGGGATGCGGGTCCTGGCCATCTGCCCACCCACATGTCTGTGTGCCAGGGGTCACAGGGTGGTGGACTGCTCCGGGCGCAACCTGAGCCTGCTGCCGGACAGACTGCAGCACAACATCCGGGAGCTGAACCTGTCCCGCAACAGCCTGCACAACCTGGACGGGCTGCTCAGCCACTTCGCCCACCTCCGCCTCCTGGACGTGTCCCACAACCAGCTGACCAGCTTCCCGGCCCGCCTGCCCAGGGCGCTGTGGGAGATCCGCGCCTCGGGCAACCGCCTGCGCCTGCTGGAGAAGAACGACACGGCCTACCAGTGGAACCTGAAGGTGCTGGACCTGTCGGGCAACGAGCTGGAGCGGGTGGTGTTCATCAACAACACGCTGCCCAACCTGCACTCGCTCAACCTGAGCCACAACAAGTTCTGGACTGTGCCCACCAACATGCCCTCCAACCTGGAGACCGTGGACCTCTCCCACAACTTCCTCGTGCAGATCCTGCCCGGGTCGCTGGACCGCCTGTCCCGGCTGGCCCGCTTCTACCTGCACGACAACCGCTTCTCCTCCGTCAGCGAGCGCGCCTTCAGCCAGCTGGGCGGCCTGCGGCTCATCACCCTCTACGACAACCCCTGGGCCTGCGAGGAGGAGGAGAACGTCACGGGCCTCCTGGTGTGGATGAGACAGACGCCCGCCCTGGTCCTGGGCTGCCCCTGCTACACGCACCACGTCTGCGGCGAGGCACGCCCCCGCCACCCCCCCACCTCGGGGCCCTGGCGGCCCGCGCAGTCCCACTCCCCGGCCCCCGACGCCGAAGAATCCGGGTGGCCCACGGCGCAAGCCGTCACGTCCGGCTACCGGCCCAAATCGGCGCTGTTCCGCCCGCCCTCCGACATGACCGCGTCCAACCTCTCGGCGGCCGACCCGGCCGTCCTCAGGGACGGAGGCCACCCTTGGGCTGCCGCCACGCGCGGCCCGGCCGCCGGCACCAACGCTCGGACCAGCACCACGCCCGGCACCGGCAGCACCAAGAAAACCAACGCCGTCGTGCGGAGCACAAACAGGGGCCCCACCGCCTGTGCCCCAGAAACAGCCATGCTCAACTTGTTACTTGCGAGAGCGGCCTGGACTCTGACCTAAAACCCATTTCTTACTTCCCAGATGTCCCGAACAAACACCGCATACAAGAAACAATTTCCTTTTGGTGCAAGGAGAAGGGGGGTGGGGGTGTTTTTTTAAATCCCGACTGTTATTGTCATTGCACATACCATACGTTTCCTCTGTAAAGTCATCAAATCGCTTCTCAGCAGCTCATTGCCCCTCTGCAGAATGTAGCAGGACTAATGTAAGAGTACCGTGGGCATATATTTATAAAAACACAACCCACACTAAATGAATGTTCCTTCTTTATTATGCTTGAGCCTTCAAGGACGCTGTATTCTATGATTTATATCAAGACAAACATTAAAAAAAACTAAACAAAAAAAGCTTACATCGCGAGTGTGACAGTTTGAGGAAACGGGCACCACAGGTTACCCCTGGCAGAGGACGACAATTTCCCGATGAACGACTCGTCAGGACGTCAACTACAGTATTTCAGTGCTACAGTTATTTCAATGGGTTAAACATTAAACCTGTGAAACTTCAGATTATACAGAGGAACAAATCACGAGGACTAGGAAGAAAAACAAACTGTAAACTACCTGGCTGCATGTGATCCCGGTATTAACATATTTATATTTGTGGTATTCACACAAATAATCACTTCCATTGTCAGTATTTTTATTACTGTTGTTCGACTAGTCTACTATCCTTCTGGTATGCAATGCAAACTATGTGGTTTAATTTCTGAAACAATTTGGAATATAGTATCAGTAACAAGAAGAATGGATTGACGCTTGCCCTTTTCTTAAGATGTGTAGTGAAGCACTCCCATAAGACAATAACCGAAGCCTCTGGTTCACCGAATAAATAAATCATTACTAAGTGAGACGCTGCTCTGTGGAAATGAACTTAATAAAAATAATTGTGATACTTTTCAGGACAAGTGCAAGCTGTGTAATTCTTTCTTGTTCAAGACATGATTGAGCTGTCTGAATGATTTTGTATGGCTCTTCAAGGAAAGGGAGCAATGCAGTTCTGTTTTCCAAAAAGCTTAATCGTGACTTGCCTAATAGTAGGCTACACCTGAACAGCAGCAAGCGCAGATCACAGACCCTCCTGCTCACATTACAGATCTGGCACTGGCCCTGTGACAAGGAATGTTTTCATTTTAGCTTACGTTCAGAGGCGCAGGGGTAAATAACAGCAGTCTCCTAAAACGGCTTAATTCTATTTTCGGATTTGCACTAAACCACCTCTCAAAATCCCCCTACCCCCTTAATTGCAGTGGTTAAGCAATTGCTCACCTCTCCAAGTGAGATTACTTCTCAAATGATCTGCAGGAAGATGGGGGGGGGGCTGCAGGTGCATTATGGCCACTGTTGAGTGAATTTGGTCCCTCCTAATTGTGAAGATCCTTTAGCAAACAGCTCATTTATTTTTTTAAGCATCATTATTATTCGCCTCTGGATGGAAGCTGGATGATTGGTGACTGAATAACTGATCTGTCCATATTTCCACATCACTCTAAAATGCAGTTCGGTGGCAGAGGACATCTCTTACTGCCTGAGTGTGGCGAGGCAGTGTCGTAGCAGCGAAGCCTCTTCTCAGGCCAGCCCTGATGCCCACAACAAAAAAAGAAAGCTAGACTGGCCTAGTGGTCAGTCCCAACCAACATGTTTTAGCACTGTTCAAGTCCATATTCCTACCGTTTAAGGACTTTATATTCGCTCTCATTGCAATTTACTGTTCTATACTAGGACTATCGCTGCTAATAGAATATAACCAACATCTAAAAACATCATAAAATCTGTTTTCTATTTCCTTCCTCCTACATATTCTGTTGATCGAGATGAACACGATTGAGGCAGAGGTGAACTCTAGAACAGGGTCAAGGCAATCCAGACTATTCATAACAGCTGGATTTAAAAGAAAATGCACAGTCTATATCCCCAGCCTCACCGGTTACTCTACTTACTACAAGATATTCCTGGACAACAGAGAACCAAATAATATAGTACCATAACAATGTCACATCAATGTAACGCTATAAAATGTACCACACACACAATACAAACAAAGCTAGAAAGAACATGCACTTAATACTACCCCCATTCCCCAAATGCAGACAGAAGCCTACATGAACTGCACCTGCAGCTGTGATACAGATTCAGGAGTTTCAGCAAACTGAACTGCCTTTTAGAAAACTATGGGTCCTTGATTTTTTTTATAAAGCTTTACAGTTTTTTTGCTTCCCTTCCAGGTTCTTGGATTTGTCATTCGTAACTTAGGGTCTAATAGATGCAACAGTCCATATTTTCAATGTGTATACTGGAAGGAGCGAAGAAGTGGTTTTGTCTCTAAAAGTGTATGGAACTTATTCACATCTTTGCTCTAAAGCAAAACTGGACCAGAACCAGATTTTACGTTAAAACCAACCATTCTTTTTAATTTTGATTTAAAAACAATTTCAGTTATTCAAAGTAAATCATTTGGTTGTGTTGCACACATGAAATTGTTAAAAATGGCTCTCAGTGCAGTATAATTAAATGTGTATATATGCAAGATTAATTACAACTGAATTGTTTAATCAGTCCTTCAATAATGCTCCTAAACATGGTTGATCTTACTTCAGTAGATGCTCTTGTTCACCTTGACACTGATATTGTTGTAGCCTTCTTAGTGTTAGTAATGTTTTTTTAACATGTTGTTGACAAAATCAGCCCACTTTCATTCTGAAACTTGGAATATGATGGCCTTTTTTGTACCTTTCCCAAGAGCAGAAGTAAAAACGCTTGTGCTAGCATTGAAGATTTTTTCCAACAACAAAGACAATGAAAACAGATGGCAAAACCTTTTTTTTTTGGTAGCCAGTAAATAAATGTTTTGTAAGAGACCTTAGTTGGCTCCGCTCTGCTTGGGCTTCGCAGTTCCTTTTTTCTTGAATAAAGGCCAATTCCGATCCAAACAGCTTTTCATTCTCAACAATACACAACGTCTCCCAGTTTTTTTTTCATTAAAGAGTACCACCTGATATAGATTTTTTTTTAAAATGCATTCACACAAATCTGGAACTGTCCAAAAAACAGAACCTCTGCGCCTTCTGCAGGCCGCACAGACAATGAACCAGAGTTTTGCACATCGTACTGCAAGAGCCACAGGCCTCCCATGCATGGAACCCTTTCCAGTGAACCCAAGCAGCAGGAAACGCCAGCGGGTGCCCAGCTGTAACCCTCAGGCCTACCTGCGCGTGATGTAGTAAAACACTGGGTTGCCAGTTTTGGAAGTGCCCGCCTGGTAAAAGATATTCAGCGTCTTCAGAGCTTTGAACTCCTCCTTCTCGTGCACCTGGTGCCTGCAAAAACAGCACAGAGTCAGTCTAACATAAAAAAAAGACTTAACAGGAGAAGAAAGATGTGGCAACTGCGGTCAGATTGTTACGACCAGTGCTTGAAACCGGGCTTTTTGGGGGTTTTCTGTATCAGCATGTCCTGGCATTTTTTAATGGTTCACAAAAATGTTCTATCAAGTCCGTTATTTAACAACTTAAATTGTTTGAGATTCTGGTTATAATCAGTACTACTGAACACTATAATACCTGGCACCTCATACTTCATTCTCACTTCAAGCACTGCTTACAATGTCACTGAAACACACCAGCCCTCTGTCAGCCAGGGGAATAAACCCCGAGCTCGAACAGGGCTGTAGCACACTGCACCAGTTCAGAGGGTTGCTGTTGCTTAGGAGCAACACTGGAGCAACAGAAAGCAAAATCCAAAGTCAGCAAAAAAAAAAAAGCACAAGCACTGAACACGCACAACCATGAAATACTCCATCACCTGTCACCATGCCCTTCACATAAACCTGCTCAGTACGTTTATAAGGGAATGATCTATAGACAGCGAAGGAGAAATAAGATGATAAACAACAGTATCGCCCAACCCTCCTTGCCCAAGTGGGGTTATGCATCTGTCTAATTTAATTTAATTATTAGGTAAAATCAATGAACTTCTGTTGGTTATATAATTTATTTTGGATGGAATAGTTGCGGACTGACAGTTAAAATCAGTTTTGCACCTGAAAACACTCATGAAGTCACTCTCTCAACCAAATTTGGACCAGCACCCTGGCTGGCAGAAAGCGGGCCTGGTGTCGAACCCGTCCCCACCCGCAGGAGGATTCACCTGGTCATGAACTCCTCAAACTTGGAGCTGGTCAGGTTGAGGCTGGACCAGTGGGTGTCCGCGACGGGCTTGTGCTCTGGGGGACCCAGGTAAGCCAGGAGGGTGGCCATCTTGTCAAAGGGCCGTCGTCCTACTGCTTTGTGGTCCCTAGCAACAGAAGGTCAAAGTTCAGGAGGCGGAGCAGAAATGAGAATCTCCACAAGCTCACTCTTCAAGAAAAGAAAACCGAAATAAAAACGCGAGTTTCAAGGGAAGGGATAGTAACGCATATGCAATCTTGTATTTAATCATCTTCAGCCCCTGGCCAGGGCATTTGCTATTTCCCTCTACAGCCACCCCAGCACGACCTCAGCAGGAGAGAAAGAGATGTCTCCCCGCCCTGTCCCACCCTGCCCCACTGTCGCTGAAGCAGCCAACACACGGCCAGTCCTTGAGCCCCAACACAACGGCCTCCATGCACTGGGGTAACCCTGCCTGCAAAGCCCAAGGCTGCGCACCTGTTGCTGGAGAGGTACTGCCCGATCTTCTCCTGGTTGTTCCACAGCAGGCGGTGGAGGGCCAGCACGTTCCCGTCGCTGATGAAGGACAGGCTGTGGTTGACCGAGTCGCTGGCGGGACAGTCGGACGCGATGTCCAGGAAAAACCTGAGTGCGGGGGGGAGAGCAGGGTGAGCACCCAGGTGGGACAGGGCACATACCTGGGTTCGACTGCCTTGCAAACACTGCTCAGATGGGTTTATCAAGGTGAGGCCTCCTAAGCCCCCTCTGTAACTCTCCATGCAATGTCAATGTACTACACACCTGAAACAGACACCCCGTTTCACATCAGGGGTGGAGAAAATCTTCAGAAGGAACAAGGCACTGCGCCACGTTTTCAAACTCGCAAACAAAAAAATTCATTTTAAACCTTGACGGTTATGGATTGACCTGTTTGACTGCCGTTACTGCAGGTTGGTGATTTCATATTTCAGATATTTGCTTTTGCTGTTGTTGTTTTTTACCTGTATGATCTCTTTAAAGCAGGTTTGGCATGGTTCTTTTTAAATGAAAGGTCAAATATAAAATAAATACTGAAGCTTATCACACCTTTACCAGCTGCTGTGCATTCCACACAAACACAAAAGATCTTCTGCTTTGGAATAAGAAAGCGAACCCCCCAGGGACCAAAGTGAATAAAATTGTAACAACACTTGAATGGTATTTGCAAATGCATTTAATACCATGCCTGGTTAATTCAGTCCAGCATCTGTTAAAACCTCTTTTAATCTAATCCTTCAATCTGAAATGCACCCAAAAAAAAATGTTTTCTCATAGCTGAGCAAACATGAATTCTTAAAAGCAATGAAAAGGGGAAGTGATTTAATGCCAGTTTGCCCCATATCACTACTAAAGATTGCAACAGTAGAACACTGTGGTAAAGTGCTCATATGTTTCAAGTTTACATGATTTTACATCTTAATAATGTGTAATTGGTATGGATGTGCGAACAACACTATTCGTATTTTAAAAAGACTCTCACTCTCCCACCTCTTGAAAACACCTAAAGTAAAGTCTCTTGAGCAGGGGTTTCCAATTCTAATCCTGGAAGACCACACTGCAGCTGGGTTGTGTTCAAGCCAAGCAATGAGGTAAAGAACAGAACCCTTCACTGACTTAATACCAGAATTAATCTGAAGTATTTTAGAAATGTGGGAGGGTGCCTTTTAACTATCATGTTTCAAAAGTAAAATAAAATCCCAACAACTTTTGTGTGGAAAGAAAATATGTGCAAATATTCCAGTTGAGAAACTTGTTGGTTCAATTGCGGCTTCAATTAATGAAGTGAAAACCAGGAGGTATGTGGGCCTCCAGGACAAGAACCAGAACTGGCACTAGGAAGCCCAGCCCTGTGAGACAAGATGCTCAGCCAAACGTTTCAAGAGAACTGAAGACGTAGGCTTAAAGAACTTTCTTTTCCCACAAGGAACTTCATTTGTTTTGCTGGGTACATTAAAAAAACACATCCTTTAAACATACACAAAAAACATCCCTCGTATACATGTTGCATAAAAACAGATCGTACCCTATAAAAAACAAAGTCAGCAATCCAGCACATTAAATACATTTCCCATGACCCACTAAGATTAATGTCATAACACAGGTGAATTAATTATAAGGAAGCTGGTGAAAAGGGGGAAGGATGTGAGAAGATATGTCCATAAAACCAAGTATCTCCTTTTCTAAGGGACATGGGGAAAGCCTTAGAGTTCAGCAGCCTAACAGATGCGAGCAGGAAGCTGGAAAGACCCCACTTCGTCTAAACATTACACGCACTGCAAAAACAGAAAGCGGAAGACTACTCCATACCTCCTTGCGGCTTCAAAATTGCTTTTCACAAAATCGTTAAAAGGCCTCATGTGCTCTTCTTTTGTAAACAGAACGTGGTTCGCGATGCTCTGGAGGATCTGAAAGGAAACAGAAGCGTCACCGAAACAAACTGTTAATCCTAAAACCGTAATTTCAAGGTGCCATCACGCCGCTGTAAGGCAGCTCCCAGCCCAGGAAGGCGGTGTTCACCCCAGCTCAGAATTTTATTAACCAATTAAGGCAACGGAGTGGAAACGCAGGGACGACAGCGGTGGTCTTCAGGTCTTAATTAAAAGCGAATTGAAAGACGCCTCTAAATTCCAGCACAAAGCACAAACCTTTGACCAAAACAACCTCCAATGCATCGGTTCAGACAATCCAGTGTTGGGCTACCTCTGATTTCCAGAATCTCCGCAATTTCTTTGGGAGGCACAGATAGGGATTGGACAGCAGTGGCCTCGTACCTTGGACATTAATTTTAAGCCCCTCTCTATCCTGGGGGGTGGCTTCTTGTCCAGGATCCCGGCTTCATAAGGGGAGACGATGGCGGGGTTGATGAAGCGCAGGAACATGGCACTGCCTACTGCCCCAATGCTATTCTGAGGGAACCGCTGACTGACCACCTGGAGGAGGAAGCAAGAGGAGGGGGAACAAGAGCCAGAGACAGAGAGGGGTTAGTGAGGGCCATCTGAGGACAGCTGGCATTAACCAGGATCCCAGCATGGCTGACAAATCTGGGCCAGCCCATGGAAGACTGAAAGGATCTTCCGAGAGAGAGGCTTTATCTGTTTCTTTAAAAATAAAAAGGTCTGGACCCCATTTTTTCCACCCTTGATTCTGAATATATTTAAAGAATAAAACAACGTGCAATGTCGAACATCCTAAAATAAAAGGACACCTCTAAAATGTGAGTAGATGATGAGAAGCCAGCATAACAGAGGTTCTCGCCTGATTCTTTAGAAAGAGAGAGAGAGAGAGAAGCAACAGGTCTTGAGCTAATTTTACCAAGCCTCACTGTCCTTCTGTTAAAAATTCTAAAAATACAGCTCATCTGCATATCTGATGAGATCTGAGGCAGCACATTATGCACAGGAGGATACTGAAGGCTGAACTTTGGTCCCCAGTAAAAAGAAAAGAGCAGTTAACCAAGCAAGTCCTTACGCAGGTGTCTGACCTTCTGACCAACCCAATGGCTACTGGACACTTGCAAATTACACAGAACTCCAAAGACAGCCTTAACGATGGCTCAAAGTCACTCCGTACAGTGGTGCCTTGATTAATGTTTTGACTTGTAATTTAAACTAACGTACTTAAGCAGAAGCGTCAATCCTTAGAAGTACAAATTCATCGGAATACAAAGGCCAGAACAAGATTTTTCTCATTAATAGTCATGTAGACGTAGGACCGGGACATCGAGAAACAACTGAGTCAGCGCACAACTGTAGCCAACTGTAAGACACTGAAGCACTGCTCATTACGATCCACTACAGTACTGTCATCTGTAATTTACTTCCAAAGCTTGCTTTATTGCAGAAAGCCTCTACAGGCCACTTCCTTATCCATTTCAAGCAAACCGTGGAACCAAAGTCCCACTGAGGTGTGAAATGAATGCAGTGACAGCTCTGTGCCGATTCTGAACAGCTCTCTAAAAAGCCTGTGCACATTCAAAGCAACTGATGTAAAAATAAAGTAAAGCCCCTCTACCCCATTACATGTTTTGGAAGTTTCTGCGACATTGGAATACACTGCAATGGCCAAAAGGTGATTTCACCTGCCCTGAGGCCACAGAGGTGCCACCTTCTCACAACACATCACAAAACATTTGGCTGCTATTCCAGTAGAGCACCTCATTTTTCTACATCATAATAAAAGAGGAATGACAGGGAAAGGAGACCAGGAAATCTGTGCGAAAACTGTATTCACAGCATAAATAGAGGACAGCTACTTATATTTCTTTACCTTGATAAATAGTATTGTTTTTGTCCGTAAGTTCTGACACCCGATCAATGTCCCCCCCCCAACCCCCATCACCGTTCCTTTCCAAAGCTGTCCGATTACATTAAGCCAATCTGGGTCTCAGCATTAGCTCTTCAGTGTTGCCAGGAAGATGACCACTTGAGATCACCCTGCCGGCAGGCTCAGCATCATCAGAATAATCTGACAGATCTCACAGAACAGCAGACCAAGACTATCTCAAAACCTCTGGCGCCCTCGCCAATCCCAGCATCCCAAATCCACAGCAAAATGGCGGATTTAATCTCAACAGCAACATGGAAAGCATCCAATAAACGGCCTCAAGGTACATGACTAGCTGGAGATGTGAAGATGTCACTGGGGCAATTGTCTTAGTTGAAGTCTCACCCTCCATGTGGGCCAAAGAAAAGAGGATTAAGTCTTTTGAAGAAGGAAAAAAAATGACTTGTCAAACGACACAACGTTTCCGTTTGATATTAAACGGGTATATCCGTGAACCAAAAGTCATGTTTGCTGCATGTTTTTTTTCCCTTCGCTAGGAAAGGTGGGAAAAAAAGGCAAGAGAAAAGATGCAGGTCACAGAGTGAAGGCCCTGTCTGGTCCTGTCAGCCTGCGAGAGGCGGCGAAAGAGGACAGACCCCAGCCTAGACGAAGTCGACACGGTTCCTGCAAACTCGGGAAGAGAAGCCTCTGTCTTGAAAAAGACCCATCGAGTGACGAAGCCCCGTTATGAGACAGCAGAGTCCCCAGGCAGACTAGGAAAACACCCAACTGCCCACCTCCCCTCACCACTTCTGCACTTCTGAAGAGAAGAAACGCAAAATGCCTGAAAGGGAACACTGATTTAAAAGATGCCACTGGTTTTTAATCATACCGAGTGTTAATTGAAAAGAAAGCTACCCTGGAGTCAGAATTAGTAGAATGATTTTAGGTGAAGATGTGTACAGGCTGAGGTGTGAAGATGTTTATTGGGGGGGAGGGGCAGAAAAATTAACAAAATACAGCAACAAAAAAAGGTTTTTGCTTCAAAAAGAAAATTGCTAAGAAAAAGTTCTCTGAACTTACTGATTTTTTGCTTTCCTTTTTTTCTTTAACTGTGGCTTTATTCAGTAGAGAGTGGCAAGTTGCCTACAGAACAGAGATGGGTACAAAGATGTCACAGCACCAGCTAGACACAGGAGGTAACACAACAGTGGTCACTTGTACAAAGCTACAACACAGTATGTCACACAAACACGATGAAGGAGTTTAAGAAAAGAACAGCTCTGTCGTTTTCACAAATTAAGTGGACCATTTACATAATTTGCCTACATGCTGCAGGTGTTGTAAGGTTGCCTGTGCAAACCACTACAACACAGAGTAGTATATCAGCGCCCCTCTTTCCACGTGAGCAACGTGGAAAATTACAGGACAGGAATCGGAGATCGGCTTCAGATTAACATCTCTTTAAGGTTTAAACCAGACGTTACAGGTAAAAGGGGATGATGAAAACCTAATAATGTTTATAAAGGAGAGGGCCACTTTTGCCTGTCTAGCTCGCCTGCTGTTTGGTTTTGAGTCGGCTTTTTAAAGTTCTGTAAAATGGGATTTTTCTTGTGGCAAGGTATTGGTTCTGCCAAGAGCAACGAATGCTGGTGCTTGTTTTCTTAGAGATGTACAGAGAATTTTATGAATAATCTCCTTCATGGCGCGTTCAGTTTGTGAATATTGAAAAGCACAAATTTACCAAACAATCCCCTTGCAAAGTTTTTACTTTACAGCTCACAATGTACTCTACATACTGTGCCTCTCGCATGATCCATTTTCCAAACGAGTGCACAAGATCTTAGTTTTCGCGGCCGAGAAAGACACTTGATTATGTTTAGGATTTTATTTTTAATTAATTCTCATTTTCAAGGCACAAATATCCCTATTTGCCACTGCCAAAGCCCTAGAGGCGAAGTATAACCGGTAAACAGAGTTAAATGTTCAGAACATATAATACGGTGGTAAAGCAATTTTTCACACACAAGTCAAAAACAAAAGAAAAAGAAGCAGCCGGACCATGAAGAGACAAGACAGCTCCACAGAGGAGCACAGAGACCGAGAGCAGAGCTCCCCTGTGACTGTGAAGCTTAGCTGGGCTGGAGGGCTGTGCATGGCGAGTCTGCAGTTTGCAACGAACAGGTCCCCAGAAAAAAACCAAAGGTAAAAGTAACACAGCAGGGCCATTCCATTCCAGTTGGGCTCCCGAGGAAAGTTCAGTGGAAAAAGAGGAGAGTGCATTGCGCGCCCAGGGACGAGTTAACCTCCTCGAGCTGGATTTGAATCTGAATCAGCTGACAGGCCTCCCCCCCCACCTCCAAAGACCACCACCACCTCTCAATTCTCCCCCCTCCACTTCCCCACCTAGTGGCTGGAGACGGGAAGACGACCTGCTTCAGTTGTGCAGCCCTGTCTGTCGGGACACTGCGCAGCGAATGGGAGAGGGCTAAGCACGCTTTAAGACGTGTGGTTCCACTCATCTGCAGCAATCGGCATTCTGCCGGTACTGTCTGGAACCCATCCCAGATACCACACTGGTGGCAGCTAATCCCAGATCCAGCCCCAATGCGGCCTGAGAAACACAGTATGCATCCATTTTTCTGAAATACGCAAACGTACACATTTCAGTTACCTAGCATTTTACACCTCTGGCATATAACGACTAAGCCTCCGAGATCACCCTCACAAAAACGTCCCTGGGGTGTCGAGAGGGGAAATCGCTGACCGTGTTACGTAGTGTTAGTTCAAACAGAGGAGTGAGCAGAGAGCGTGTGCCAGCAGGAAGAGACGAGGGCCCCGGCGGCCGGGCGCAGTGTGTGCTGGCAGCCCGCAGGGCCTACCTGGTACAGGCAGTGGCACACGCTGCGCAGCTGCGGAGGGAACTCGGAGGACGAGTTGATGATGGCGAGGAAGAAGCGGTCGGTCATCTGCCGCAAGTTCTGCTGGTTTTCGTCCAAACATTCTGTCTGTTCCAGTCTGGAAGAAAAAACAAACGCTAGCTGACAATATTTGGAGCTTCCCCAACGACACAGCCGTGCACGTGTTAGCGAGTGCTGTTTTTGGACTGTATTAACCTACCTTCACATGAATTTACTAACATTGAAAACATCTTGCAAAGATGGTCAGGCAAAACCATGAGGAAAGACCTCACATTTCTTTAGGTCCATACTCAAGCCTAGGAGCTCATCACAGTACTATTAAGCAGATTAAGAGCTCTCAGCCCGACTGAGGAAATTCTCTGCTCCAACGCTGAGTTAATAACCATTTATAGAGGTAGACTGCAGCAATTTGCATACAGTGCTTCGCTCAAAACACAAAACATGAGTGTCTGCACCGAGACCTGAATTCACAAAGGCCCGATGAGGAATTTGAAGCCTAAAACATGGCTTGACACTCCCTTTTCAAAACATACAGGGCTTTCCTCAAAAACACTCTGCTCCCTAATGATCTACAAAATCCTGGATTCTAAGATCTGTGTGCAAGAACAGCAGAAGAACAGCTCTGGGATCGTTTCTAGGGGGTTTAACGGGCAGGGCTTGCACGAGGCGGTAAGCACGCTGTTGTTTTTGAAACGCAACCTGGTAGGGTCGACCTCGAAGCTGATCTGCTGCCACTCTGGGGTCGTGATCACACCTCTCAGGAGGGGCTCCAGTAGCTTCTGCAGGTAGGTAGCACCATAGACCTGAAAGACGGAACAGACAAAGAGCACCATTCAACTACACTCTGGGATATCATTCAAGCCAAACCAGATGCTTATTATCATCATGATTCTTTTCAGTTTTTTTGTTTCCTTCATGTTTTTTGGGGGGTTTGCAAAGCATAAGCAGACCACTGTAACCCTGGATGAGAATAAAAAAAATGTACAGGACACTCTGCTGGTGACTCAGGTCACAGTACGTGTTAAACATGGTGTTTAACCGCTAATACTGCCAAAAACAGCTGATACTGAGCTTTTTAACAGAGCTCATAAAGCATCACTCATCTAAACCAAGTACCACAACAGTTGCTCTTATAACACCGTTTATTAGCAATGCATCTACTTAGGAGCTGAAGGAATAAGAATGTTAATGCAGAAGCAGGAAACAAATTTCCTGCTGCTTTACAGAGGAAGTAACTTAAGGCAGAAAATTGTCACTTTTTTTAACTGATACAATCAAGACGCAAACGAGAGGGGCAATTCAGCCCGCCTTGCTCGTATGGTAGTTCAGAAGCTGAGTGAGCCTAAATATGAGCGGCAGGACGAAATTTATTTCCCCTTCTTGCTGTTCTATTTTCCCTCCAGCCAACATGGGTCTCGCTCGTGAAACAATGCGACGACGAGGTCAGACTTGCACCTTGAAACAGAAGGTCATGATTTTACTGGCCAGGCTGTTCCCCCTGAAGAGCGTCTGCATGGAGTCGGCCAGCTCCACCTCCTTGGAGAACATATTCCACAGCAGCTGGTAGAGGAGGTGCCGCGAGTCGAACAGGGTTACCAGCACTCGGGCCAGCTCGTCCTGCGAGGGGGCACACACCAGTTACGCACACCATTGAGGACGACGCCTGCTCACATGCACTGTGTGTAAGAACTCGGATTCACTCTGCCCTGACATGTGTCTAGCACGTGCTGCCCGGTTACGTCGGCCGCCACCCACCCACTGCGAGCAGGGCACCACGTTGGCCAGCGCCATGGCGATGGGCAGCTCCCCCTGGTCGCCCATCATGGTCACGAGCTCCACCAGCCTCTCGAAACGGTCGGCCAGGACCGTCTCGGCCAGCGTGTCGAACTCCGTGCCCTGCTGCAGGATCTTCGTCAGCACCTCCATGAAGGTGGCTCGCGTCTGGAGGTCCTTGTGATAGCCGAGCCCTGGCAGGAGAAGGGCGGAGAGGCAGAGGAGGGGACAAGGGCAGGGAATGAGAGACAAAGGAGAAAAGGCACCCTTGCAACAGACACCTCTTATGCAACAAGCCAACAGTTAAAGTAG